TGTGCAAAGTGTTTAACATCTCTGAATTCAGTTTACACCTGTAAATAGGTGATAAAAATACCTACATCATGCAGTAACTGTGAGGGTTCCAAGCATGGATAATACACAGCATTCAAAATACTTACCTACAATAATTCTACACCAGTTAACCAGTATGGAACTGACTAAATAAGTTACAATAGATGCATGCAGCCAAATACTTTTCTGTTGAATGTTTAAGGGCATGAAACAAATATCAATGATACATGGCTAAATTTGAAAAGGCAGCTACAGACAGTATTTACAGTAAAATTCTTTTCTTTTAAAAATATATTAATATGCATTAGTAGAAGAGGTGGCAAGAATATACTTCAAAAACAACAATTTGGGCATTATCAGCAACTAATTACTTATTTAAAAACATAATTACCACCACCACTGTATCAAAACGACATAAAACAACAATTCAAAAATTCCACCATCTGGGAATGTAAACTGGTACAGCCCCTCTGGAAAACAGTGTGGAGGTTCCTCAGGAAACTAACAATAGAACTCCCTTATGACCCAGCAATAGCACTGCTAGGAATTTACCCAAGGGATACAGAAATGCTGAGGCATAGGAGCACATGTACCCCAATGTTCATAGCAGCACTCTCCACAATAGCTAAAACATGGAAAGAGCCTAAGTGTCCATCAACAGATGAATGGATCAAGAAGATGTGGTTTATCTATACCATGGAATACTACATGGCAATGAGAAACAATGAAATCTGGCCATGTGTAGCAACATGGATGGACCTTGAGGGTGTTATGCTGAGCGAAATAAGTCAGGCAGAGAAGGACAAATACCATATGTTTGCACGTATAGGAGGATTAGGAGGAACTTGACGGAGGAACAAGGGGGAGAAGAAGGGCGGAAATGGTGGGGGAAAGGGAGAGAGGCAAACCATGAGAGACTCTTGAATGCTGACAAAAACTGAGGACTGATGGATGTGGGGGGGAGGGGGGGATGGGCATGAAGGAGGGCACTTTGGGGATGAGCACTGAGTGTTATATAGAAACTAATTTGACAATAAACTATTTGTAAAAAAAAAAAAAAAAAAAATCCCACCATCTGTGTTTTTAAAAAAGCACTAGTATCCTGCCCACACATCCCCAACTCCATCACATCATCATTAGGATTTTTCTATGAATAATAAGACAAGGAATTCACTCTGAAACTTCTCAAATTTTAGTGAGTTAAGGGAGCTATGGTTTGTCTCCCAATAAAGACACACATTTTTGCCTCCCACAATTTCAGTTAAAAGCCTTCACGTCTTATAGATACAATACAAAAAATTGCTTTGACTAACAATAGGAATAGAACATTTTTTTAAAGATTTTATTTTTAAGTAATCTCTACACCCAACAGAGAACTGAACCCCTAGCCCCAAGATCAAAAGTTTCACACTCCACCCGACTGCGCCATCCAGTACCCCAAAGAACATTTCTACAAAGGCAGATTCACTCCAAAGGATTTTGAAAACTCATTTTTTTTTTACAAGGAGTGAATATTAACCTTTAAAATGAATATTTCACAGCACAGCTGTCACTGAAGTTATAATCCTGTGATTGCAAGCACAGAATATTGTCACGAAATTAATAAGACAGAACAAAAGACAGACTACAGTTTCTTAATAAAGAAAATGAATTAATAGGCAGATATGAAAGCTTGGATTCAATAAAAAGTAGAAATAACTGTCAGAGACACTGGAAAAAAATGAATTCTGACTTGGAAAAATCTAGATATGACACTGTAAAATATTTAGTTAAGAAATGCTACTTCGTTAATTTAAAATAATGCTCTCTTATTTTCATTGCAAATTAGATTTCACTTGAATTAATAACACTTAACCAACAATTATACAAAAACATGCAACATTTATTTACCCTTGAAGGTGGAAAAGAAAAAACCAAATGCTCAAAGCAATCACCCCTTTAAAGCATAGATTTTACAGAATCTCTAATTTTAAGCAGAAGCATCCTTTTCTCAACTCACACTAAATGATTCAAGACACCTGAATTCATATGAAAACCATGTGACTTCATTATTGTCTTAGTGTCACCACTAAATAAACCCTAAATACCCACAGAAATATTTGATTTTCAGTATTTTAAGTCTCCCTCTGCTGTATGAAAAAAGATTCTAAATTTTCATTTCCCTTAAGATATAATTAAGTACAATTATTTCAATTTGTTTCCCATAATTTCTAGCTTAAAAGCTGGTGGGCTAACAAAACTAATACATATTACTTTGGGCTAGGAAAAGAAAAATCACCTTCCATTACATTCCATTCCATTAAGGAATGCTAATTCTTTAATCCAGAATTTAGAAAAACCTAAGCAAAGAAGCAATAGCTTTCCAGAAATAAAAGTATTTCTCCTGGGCCAAGATGAATAATTTAGTAACTATGTAAACTTGGGGAAAGCATTTAAAGTTCATGAATCTCAGTTCCTTTTCATCTATAAAGCTAAGAATAAAAATACTCTAACTGAACTTCAAAGGGTTAACATCAGAATCCACTTTAAATTTATTCACTGAGGGGCACCTGGATAGCTCTCAGTTGGTTAAGCATCTGACTCTTAGTTTTGGCTCAGGTCATAACCTCATGGTTCATGAGTTCAAGCCCCATGTCGGGCTCCCTACTGCTAGTGCAGACCCTGCTTAGGATTCTCTCTCTTTCCCTTTCTGTCCTGTCCCCTCCTCCTTCCTTCTACCCCATCAACCCTCCCCCCCTTAAAATAAATAAACTTAAAAAAAAAAGAATACATTTATTCACTGAACAATTACTGAGCAGCCCTATGTACAGCACACGGAGCTAGGGATGCCAAATTTAGCAAATGGAATATACATACTAAAACATTAATTCAGTTTGTAAAATTAACTGGGCATCCTGTACTTTATGTGCCAATCTTACTTGGAGCATATACAAAGACACAGATGTGACATGCTTCTTATCCTCACAGACTAAATGCAAGGAAAATAAAACCTATACATAAACTGCTACACAAAAAAAATAGTTATGTAGCATTTAAAGAAACAGGAAAGGCACAAAAAAGGAAACTGGGAACACAGTACAAGCATTGCAAAATGGTCAGAATCAGGAAGTACTCAAGACTCAAAGGAAAATAAAGAATGAGAGAGGACAGTGCTTTAACATCCTCCATTCCAGCCACACAAGCTTACCTATTTATTACCACAAATCCTATTCTTCCATGAGTTACATGAGGCAACCCACGAACACAAGTTTTTAAGTCATTTACACCATCTATTTACACAAGTCAGCTTCCATTTAAACTACTTCAAAAGAATGTGCGTTAGGGGCGCCTGGGTGGCTCAGTCGGTTAAGCATCCAACTTTGGCTCAGGGCGTGATCTCATGGTTCGTGGGTTCGAGCCCTGCGTCAGGCTCTGTGCTGACAGCTGGCTCAGAGCCTGGAGCCTGTTTCAGATTCTGTATCTCTCTCACTCTCTGACCGTCCCCTGCTCACGCTGTGTCTCTCTCTCTCTCAAAAATAAATAAAACATTAAAAAAAAAAAAGAATATGCATTAACAACCTGCTGATAAAACTACCATATGTAGGAAAATGCCTAACTCATAATTTTCTGAACTGTCTTCCTCCCAAATCTAGCTAGTTTTGTGGTTGATTACTTACCCATCTTCTTTTATTAAACAAATTCTACACTATGTGGATAGGGTCAGTAAGACTAAGATTTCATTCCTTTTCCCCCACTTTCTATCATCCAAACAACTTTCTTCTCACCCCCTCATAATTTAACAGCTCTGTACTTTGTAATCTTTAATTAGTGGACAAATCACTTCTAACTAGATGTAGAAAACTACTTCTTTACTTCGCACTTCTGCTCAAATGCTCTGCAGATACTCTCTTCTTTCTGCATATTCTGCGACACTAGCTGACCTGACTCTATTCTAGGATATGAAAATTCACCTGGCCCTAGAACTTAAACTCAGTAATTAATAACATAGTTATTAATTAAACAGACCATGTTCATAAAGAAGGTGTAGCAAAAAAGTCTACTTATATCATTTGTTGTCATTAACTCATTACATACCTTCATACAATTTTATAGATGAAAAACTTTCAGAGCTCATTTAGCCCCTATCTCTCATTTTTAAAGACAGTGAAAATTTACTCCTTCAATAATTCTGTAACAACCTAAATTCACAGAGCAAGCAAAGAACCAGAGTCAGATTTTTTGATTTTTCAGTTCAGTACCTATCCTGCTAAACTGTACTACCTACATCTTTTGATTTATATTTACAAGTCTATGAATTTTAACTCTATTGCATATTTTACTTCTTTTGGAAAATATAAAAAAATCTAAAAATTATATAATTACTCAAACTGCGGTTTTAAATTACTCAAGTATTCCCTCATAACAAAGTATTCTAAAATTCAGGTTAATTAAAAAATAGAAAAAAAAAAAAAAAACCCAAGCAGACTCACCTTCACAGTAGTGAAGTATTTCTAATGCATAAGGCAAGGTGAAAAAGTACTTGTACATCAAAACAGACAAGTTCAAGAGAAGAGATGCTCACTGTTTGTATCAAATCTTAAAGAGAGGCTGATAATTGTATCTTTTTAAAAAACCTCTTTAAGAACTATTATACCAATCCTGATAAATATATAAACACTACTGAGATTAAATTGATTTTTACATTCCACTGTCCTAGAATTTTAGGAGGGGAAAATTTTTACTCAAAATTTATTGTTTTTACCTGTCCTTTTTAATTTGAAGATATGTGCCTGAAAGGATCTATAAACTTATAATCACATGGGTGGTAAGCTGACCAATACTTCTAGATTTTGAAAATATTACCACTGACAACTCTTATTTTTAAGTAATCTCTACACCAGATGTGGGGCTTGCACTCACAACCCCAAGATCAAGAGTTGCATGTTCCTCTGACAGCCAGCCGGGTGTCCTCACTACTAACAACTCTTTTATAATTGTCTTACCTTTGTTGAAAGTACTTTAAATGTGCTCTGTTGTGGTATTATAGGATGAAGAAGTCTCAGTTTCAAATTATAATCCTCTCCAGAAGGAAGCTTCACCGAAGCAGACAACTAATGAATACAAAATTAGCAGTACATTATAAAATTTATATAATGAAGGACGAAACACTTAACTGGATGTTAATTACAGAATTTCAATACTGCTGCAGACTGTAATTTCAATACTGCTGCAGACTGTTTTAAATACTTTATATCGAGTATCATATTTAAGAAACTCAAAATAATCTTTTTTTTCTATCTGGTACCTTTTATATGGATTCTCATATACATAGTTAAATAGCAGAAAATATTATGTTTCAAACACATATTTAACATTTAAATCTCCAGAAAACTCAAGATATAGGAACAAACTATATAGTATGTAACAAAAGTATTCATATGCAAAACATCTACTTCTACCACTAACATAAATACCATTAAAATTTTCTACTAAATGCTAGCAAACCAAATTATTAGAGGCCATATTAATGTAATGTAGTTAGCAAATTCTAAGACCTATAAATCACACAAATAAGCAGATCTTTTTCACAAAAGTATATCACACAAATGTAATCAAATCACATCTTACTAATGTCTTTTATTATTTGTCAATCAAGTTTGCTGTGAAATAAAAATCTAAAAAAAATTATGTACATCTAGCTATACCCTACAGTATAAACGCTTTTGTCTCAAAATTTAAAATGACTCAAACGGAGAAGGAATGCTTTATATTTTCATCAGCATTTTCCACATCTCAGGAAGAAATGACATATCTGATAAACTGCTATAGGTTATTCTGCAATATATTATTTTGCAAATGAAAGTATTTAATCTCAAAACAAAAAATACTTCAAAGACTATAATAACCTCTTTTTCTGAAAATTCCACACTTATATTATTCTTCTGAACATTCTTGATCATAAGTGTAATGATTACTTGAGATTCTGTTTGATACCAGTCGTACCTATTAAAAAAGGAAAAAAAACTCAGAACATCTAATTTTCTCAAAGTTGTTGCTTCTTCATGTTTTGTCAAGACAAAAACTACAATTTGATAAACAAGAGCTCCACCTTGAGGAACAAAATAGTAAAGCAGCTGGTGATTCACAAACAATTTTATATAACTGATTTCCTTTGATGTGTACTAACGAAGAGAACAGTGAGGTATGATGCCTCAACCTTTCCAGGAAACTTAAATACTTACACGATTTTCAGGGTTCTGACTTATATCTCTAAACTGATGTGCTTAAGCTAATGTTGAAGAGGAAACGGATTCTAAACAAACCATAATTATATACCATCAATAGTTTTACACTTCCATTTCAATCTAATACAAAGAAAATGCACTTCTATCCATATTTTACAGATGAAAAAATAGAAGCCCAGAAGGGTGAGCAATCAGCCAGTCATCGGTAGGTTTACAATGGACCCACGTCAACTTGACTCCACTCCAAAATCTCTTAACTGAAGCTGGGGGCAATAGCCCTGAACACAATAAGCAGAAGCAAATGAGCTAAAATTAAAATAACTTAAAAGTTTAACCCATCCTGCCAAGCACAACATTAAACACAGTATCTTCCTTCAGTCTCAAGGTATATGGGAAAACTAGCGTGCCTAGAGATTCTAAATATGTGTATCTTTCCCACAGAAGGCTCTAAAACTGCAGGAACCCTCACTTTCAAATTAGATTAGATTATAAACTCCATGAGGGCAGAGCTATTTTATCTATTCTGTCACTGTTATATTCCTAAGACTGAGCACAGTGCCTGGTAATTATGAAATCAGTGTTAGATTATTTTACACTCTAACATCATGATTATTATTTGAGGTTTGTGTTATACCCCAAGCTAGTCAAAGTTTCCTATCTATGGTACTTGAAGAGTCATCCTAAATCTCACCAGAAAGAACATGAATAAATTGTTTTAACATCTTCAAGCCGTTCTAGGTAATTAAAATGCACCCTGACTAAAGAAATGAACTTTAAGAGTCTCCGTTTCCCTCCGAAATTCAGTAAGGATGCAAGCTCCAGCTCAATGCCTTGTATTTCTATCTGTTATAGTCCTAAGAATACAAGTTGTACACATGGCTAATGAATAATTAAAAATAAACTCAAATACTTGCTAGATGCTTAATTCATTATTATAACTGCTGCCCTGAGCAACAGTCACTTTCAACTCATGCAGAATTACTCTATGAAAACTTTACTCTAAAATATTAAAGGCATGTAGTTACAACTCTGCGAAACCTACTAACTTCTTTACCCGTGTAACAACTGAAGAGGTTCTCATCATCTTGTCAAGGTGACATAATATGGAGCCAGAAAAAGCGAGTTTAAAGTGGAAAAGTGACTTGAATTTACTCTTAATTATAAATAATAACAGTAATCAGCAGACAGCTTTAGAATTTGTTCTCCCAGGCTAACCACAATTTCTAAAAAAACTAAAAAACACTTAAAATCACAAAGTAAGGACTTTCTCTTTAAACAACAGGATTTTTCTCTTTAGACATATTTATCATGCATTGTTTTATGAAAAAGAAACGCTTACTTGATTTTTGACTGATGAGTCCTCTGGGATGCAGACTGATTTTGGATAGTTGAAAGAGAAAAATTTTATAAATTAGTTTAGCAACTGTATGTTAAAATACACATATTAATTTACCCAGCGCTATGGTTACTTTGACATGGAATAACTACATGAAAATGTCAAGACAAAGCATAACTGGTAAATAATATAAATTTATACACAAAAAATGAAAATATTGAGTATTTTTATAATTTTAATATTTTTCTTCTAAAATAAAAAGCATAAAAGCCCAAAATATTTTCTAACGGTATGATTAGAAAAGGTTACATCTAAGATGTTCACTTCCAAGGTTACCTCTCTAAAATGATAATAACAGTGACACATAAAAACATTTTTCAGAAATAGTATAACTTGGGTCGCCTGGGTGGCTCAGTCAGTTAGGCACTTGACTTCAGCCCAGGTCATTATCTCAGGGTTTGGGAGTTTGAGCCCCACATAGGGCTCTGTACTGATGGTACAGAGCTTGCTTGGGATTCTCTGTCTCCCTCTCTCTCTCTCTGCCCCTCCCCAACTTGTGCATGCACTGCTCTCTCTCTCTCAAAATAAATAAATAAACTTAAAAAAAAAAAAAGAGAGAAATTGTATAAAGTTCGAGCTTAACAATGGCATCAAACACTGCTCTGGAATATATGAAGGAACATTTTCATGGTACCTTCCAGTTAACAGCTTACTCCATTTACGGTCCCTCAGTAACAAACATTCTAAATTGCCCATCAAAAAACAAAGTGACTCTTGACCAATCCATACTTTCCTAAACTACATGTGTGCCAGTTAAGACTACGTAAATCTGAAAAACTTGCCCTGGGTCATAAGTGACCTCTAAGTTGTCCCTAGATTCTAAGGGAAGTGATGGGGTTTAGAGGAAAAAAAATAAAGCCCCCTACAGATGTGAGTTTAACCCAGAATTACTCTCCAGTGTTAACTATTGAGAAATACCTGAATCCAGACAATATCAAATGGAGATAATGACTAGAACAGATTATTCCAGTTCAGCTTGGTATAAAGATAAAACTACACTGGTCTGAACTACAGCAGTGACAAAATGCACTGTGGCTATACAGCGATTTGTGTTACGTGACGAAGTACTATCCAAACGCTACTCTGTTGTTTTCAGGACTAGTTCCAATCCCCAAAATAGTAAGACCTAAATAAAAATACCAGCAGGTGAAGGAAGGCAACTTTTAAATACTTCCCTCATCCATCACACTCAGGAATATAGACAAGCCTTGGAGGTATAGGGATAATCAGACAGGGCTCACTTTTGGTGAAGTTCAAAACTCCAGTCACTACATATGCACATACCTGGCCTGAAGCTGACAACCTGCCTGAAGTAGATTAGCTCTAGCAGGCCCAGTTTACATATGAAGAAAGCCCAGAGAATAAAAGATTTTCTCAATGTCACAATGTAATTCTGGAAGAGAGAGATGTAAATTTTCGTTCAGACACAAAGAAAGAGACCCAAAAAGGTTAAGTAACTGCCCTTAGAGTTAAGACCACAACCATATTTCCTGAATCCTTGTCATTTTATTCAATGACTAAATTGTAGATGATCACTGCTAAAAACCATTAGCCATAATTAACTATGTGTGTTATATATAAGTGGTTTTAAAAAATCAAATAATTTTCAAAAAAAATCAAATAATTTTCAACTCCACCATAATTTTAATTTTTTTTTTTTTTTTAAGTTTATTTTTGAGAGAGGGACAGACTGCAAGCCAGGGGAGGCACAGAGAAAGAGGGAAACACACAATCCAAAGCAGGCTCCAGGCTCTGGGCTCTGTCAGTACAGAGCCCAACATGGAGCTCATCAAACTCACAAACTGTTAAATCATGACCTGAGCCGAAGTCGGACACTTAAATGACTAAGCCACTCAGGCATCCCTCAACTCCACCATAATTTTTAATAAATGCAAAGACTTAAAAATCTTCATGTCCAAACACTAAATATGAAACTAAATTACAGATACACATTTCCAAATTCTAGTTAACTTTTGTGTTCTTTTTTAAAAATACTTATTTTGTGAGAGAAAGCAAAGGAGCACGCACACATGAGGGACAGAGAGAGTATATCCCAAGCAGGTTCCGTGCTGTCAACACAGAGCTGGATGCTGGGCTCGAACTCACAAACTATGAGACCGAAACCAAGACTTGGATGCTCAACCAACTAAACCATCCAGATGCCTGTAACTTTTGTGTTCTTATCACACCACAATAAATTACCCCGCAAGTGCTCTAAGGCAGCAGCTGTTCAACTTAAATGTGAGGACTTTTCAGCCAGGAAAAGATAAAAAGTGACCATCTTGACCATACTAAAGCATACAAAATCAACTTGAATCACACATTAAATGAACCCAATAATTTTGATGACTATAAACCTCTATATTTATTTCACCAAGAATGGTATTATTCAGTTACTAAAGGAAAAAGTATTTACATCAAATTGCTTAAGATGTAACTAAAAGAAAGATCAGTCTGAGTCCGGTCTCAAACATACATGGCAAAGTTATAATTAAGTAAAAATACAAAGAACAAAAACTTTGTACTTACCACCTCGGATTGTGATCCTATTAAAAACATAAAAATATCTCCAGTTAACAGTATATTTATAGGTAAAGTTACACACGTGATTTCTGTGGCATAAACATTCTGACTGATTACATAAATCAATTTACCATACATTCCAAATAAAAGAAAATGGTTTAATTTTGCATTCTGGAGTCACTTTAGACTCGTTAGTAATTTCTTACAGGTAATACAACCATGTTACAAATCCATCTAAATCACCCTTTTAATATAACCAATACCTTGGAAATCCCTATTTAAGCTACCTAGTTAAATTTATGATGTATAAAATTATAAAGTTATAAATCTGTTTAAATCCAAAAATGTCAAACATTTACTTCTTTGTAAACTGAAAGACCATCAGAAACCTACATACTTACCATCCTGAGCTTCTTGACATCTTTTAATCCAGACTGTGAAATCAGGATCTGCACCTAGAAAAAAAAAAAAAAAGAGTGTAACATCACCTCATCTGCACCACTTAACATACATATTCATTCAACTAATACTTACTGAATACCTACTATGTTCCAAACAGCGCTTTAGGCACTTAAGCACTGGGGATTCAGCAGTAAATTAGACAGAAATATTTCTCCTAACACAGTTTATAGCAAGCATAATTACAGCTATAAATCTACTAACAGGTTTAACATTTAGACATTCATCCTGAAGAATTAAAAAACAAAACAAAACTGGTTTTAACCAATCAACCTCACTGGTTCCCAGACACAAAGAATCTGTTCTTTCCCTCACCCTTCTTCTGTTAAAAAAGCTTCCTCTTGCACAAAAAATCAGCTCTGAGTTAGAGTCCCTACACACCATCATTTAGTGTGGAGTGGAAACCTGGTAACAGGCAGCTGGACCGAGATCTAAAAGCCTCTCCGGACCAGGTTTGCTCTCCAATGCAGCTACCTGCCTATTCTGTCTACTATTCATACCCTCAATGGCTTTTCTTTTTACCATGCCATTCCTACCAACACCAAAAAACACCTTTGAGGCACCTGGGTGGCTCAGTTGATTAAGAGGCTGACTTCAGCTCAGGTCATGATCTCACAATTCATGGGTTCGAGCCCCATGTCAGGCTCTGTGCTGACAGCTCAGAGCCTGGGGCCTGCTTCAGATTCTGTGTCTCTCTCTCTCTCTCTCTCTGCCCTTCCCCTGTTCATGCTCTCTTCCTCTCTCTCTCTCTCTGCCCTTCCCCTGTTCATGCTCTCTTCCTCTCTCAAAAATAAGTAAACATAAAAAAAATTTTTTTTAAAACAACAACAAAAAAATACCAAAACATCTTGATACTTTGTGTAGTTGTCTTATCTCCAGATTCCATGGCAGCCAACAGACTACAGATGGTGAACTATACATTTAAAAGACAGTAATGTAGGATGCCTGGGTGGCTCAGTCGGTTGAGCATCCAACTTCAGCTCAGGTCATGATCTCATATAGTTTATGAGTTCGAGCCCACATCAGGCTCTGTGCTGACAGCTCGGAGCCTGCAGCCTGCTTCAGATTCTGTGTCTCCCTTTCTCTCTGCCCCTGCCCTGCTCACACTCTGTCTCTGTCTCTCAAAAACAAGTAAACATTAAAAAAAAATTTTTAAATAAAATAAAAGCAATGTAAACATGTATGTAAGCAAATTATTAAAAGACTTAGAACGATGATAATATCTAAACAGTATAGGGTCTAATGAAATATGTTAAAAATTATTAAAAGTACTCTAAATAAAAGCTTACAAACCCAATCTAATTACAAGCAAGATTATTTTGAAAAATAAAAATTTCTTAAAATGGGACACCTAAGTGGCTCAGTTGGTTAAAGATCTGACTTTGGCTCAGGTCATGATCTCGTGGTTCATGGGTTCAAGCCCTGTGTTGGGCTCAGAGCCTGGAGCCTGCTTGGATTCTGTGTCTCCTTCTCTCTCTGCCCTTCCCCCACTTGTGCTCTGTTCCTCTTGCTCTCTCTCAAAAAGAAACATTAAAAAAACCTTTTTTAAAATTTCTTAAAAATGAAATTTCCAAATACATTAATTTATAAGTAAAATTCGACTACACAGGCCTTAACTAATACCTAGATACGTGTACACACATATTCATTCTAGTGGGGGAAACAATTACATCAAAATCTTTGATCTGAATAACCTATTATTCAAATTAATCAATAAATAAAACCGAGCTTTCTACAATACCAAAGGAAAAAAAGGAATATTCTAAGTTCTAAATTTTCTACCTTGTCTGTTAAGGGAACCCTAACAATTTAACATACATTTTTCCCTATAATTAAATAAAAAGGCAAATTTGTTTTTTAAATTAAATATCCTCAACAGCAATTTTACCAAAAAACAAACAACTTCATTTGAGGCAGACTGAAGTAATTCTAAAATAAAAATCAATAGCAATAAGGTATTAATAAAGAAAAACTTTAGGTGGGGAACTTTCTATTGCTCTAAAAAAGAAATAAGGAATAGGAATAGAAGTCTATAAGGTGGAATGATTCACGTCTCTTCAGGGTTTTTATATATGTATCAATGTACAAGGTAACTGGATTCTAGAATCTGCTAGGAGTGCAGATACACCAGCTTCTTAATGATTCACACACTACTGCTCTTTCCTGATTTGTAGGTTCCAACTGCAAAGTTCAGTGCGCTGTCCTCTCTCAAGTAGGTATACAGCAGAAAAGCAAATATTCAAAACAATACAATAAATTTTTTAGAAATATAAAAACATAATCATGCAATATTCCTTTAGAGTAGGGATTTGCAACCTCAGCACTACTGATATTTTGGACAAGACACTTCTCTGTTGTGGGGAAAATCCTGTACAATGCAGAATGTTTAGCAGTATCCGTGGCCTCTACTCACTAGGTATCAATAGCACATCCGCCATTCATCAGTCATGATCATCAAAAATCTCCTCAGAGGGGTACCTGAGTGGCTCAGTTGGTTAAGCGGCTGACTTCAGCTCAGGTCATGGTCACACGTTTGTGGGTTCAAGCCCCATGTCGGGTTCCGTGCTGACAGCTGGCACAGAGCCTGGAGCTTGTTTCAGATTTTGTGTTTCCCTCTCTCTCTCTCTCTCAAAAATGAATAAATGTTAAAAATTTTAAAAAAAAAACAAAAAACAAAAAACTCCTCAGACATTACCAAATGTCCCCATGGAGCAAAATCATCCCTAGCTAGGAACCACTGTCTTAGCGAACTATGAAAAAGACTATCATTAGAGGAAGATAAAATGACAGTGCACAGTAAGAATTCTGTAGTCTACAATTATCTATGAGATTACTTACAACTTTTGTCTTTCAGTATTTTGCCAACTTTTCTGGTTTTTTGGCTCTTACAATTTCTATACACATGCACAGACATCCATACTACTAATTTTCATATACCTCTCTGACTGACATTAAAAACTCACAATACTTTCAAAGCTCCAAGTTTCTTCCTATCACAATTTATCCAAACTGACACTTCACTTCTTAATAAAAATCTTTGCTGGAAAACTTCCTATCTCATCTAACGAAATAATAACTTAAACTCAATACACTTCTGAAAAAAAAGCAAATGAAACTTTCACTTGTCTATTAGAAAAATTTAAAGCCAGACTAAGTAAAGGGAGCACACTGAGTGTTTATATACAGTTTTTAACTTCTAATGGTAAAGCTTATCTGTGATCTAAATGCTAAAAGAAAGGACAATTTAATTGATTTTTAAGTAAGCTCAAATTTTGCAAAGAGGAAATGTTAGTAAGAAAAGAAAAAAAAGACGTTGGGTTTCTACAATGAACTTGAGATGACACTAACAAAACTGAGCTATGGTATTTAAAACACAGAAATAGATTAGTTTATTAACACACAATTCCAATACTTACTATCTAATTTCTGTCCTCCTACAAAAGTTTCTAGAGCAGCAGCATAGTTCTTTTCATGGTATTCACAGATCCTGCATGAGCATATTAAAAACAATCACCACACAGACACACGAGAATCATGAAAAAAAGCTTTCTGTCTAATTAAATACCTTAGCATGCTCTCCTGGTAAAAGAAATAATTTTAAGTATATATTAATAAACCAAGAAGTTTTCTAACATATTGTAACATAAATTTTATTTCCCATTAAAACCCAATTCTGGAACTCGTTTCAGAAGGAATTTCTTGATTTTAATTATGTATACTTGCTTATTCCAAAATATAGTTACACACTATGAAACTAAAGAAGTTTCTTAAGAATAAAGTTACACTTATACAGAAAGAAGCTGGGATACAAAGTACACAGATACAGAGCTTTCACAGCATTAAATGTAGCTTTTCCAGCTTGGTTGAGAAATAGATATTCCTTAGTCTCTTAAATATAGTAAATTCCGAACACTGAGCAAAAAGGGATATGAAATCCATCAGTTTCATCTATACCTTGCAATTACTCCAATCATCACTACCTTAAAAAACACTAACTATATATCTCCTATCACATACTATAGTTATAGAAGTATAAAATTATATTTAAAATTAAATCCCATCCCACCTATAAAATGTATTAATAAAATGGACAAATACAGAATTTACTATTTACATAAAACTTAAAATTAATTTACTCAACTAAAAACCTACTATCAATAGTCCATATTCAATAAGAAGAGTGGTTACTGCATACCCTTTTCTCAGCATAGCAATGGAATTATTTGGATTAAGTTCAAGAGATTTCTTCGCATCAGCAACAGCATCTATATACAAAAAAATGCAGTTTTTAGCCAGTTATTTGTGGATCCTAATAAGTTACATACAAAATTTGAATCAGCCTTAGATTTTTAAGTTTCCAGGTCTGAAGATGGACAAATGGTTTTAAGTTAGGAAAAGCTCCAAGATATAATTCAAAAAATTTTACCCTCATACCATATAAGCCTAATATTTAGCTTCCTTTTTAAAGCTATTCGGTCAATGAATACAGCTCTGTGATAAAGTTTATCTAATGTTCTCATTAATATCATTTATGTAATTTGTCTCAAGATATTTAATTTTTCCCTACCCAGATCTTCTAATCAGAATAATTAAAGTTACACAATACTGGGGCGCCTGGGTGGCTCAGTTGGTTGAGCAACCAACTTTGGCTCAGGTTTGTGAGTTCGTGGGTTCGAGTCCCGCATCAGGCTCTGTGCTGACAGCTCAGTTACACAATAGATTTTTTTTTAATAAAAATTGCAAATAAGAGCATTTCATTTAGATACTCTGTGAAAACGTAAATGTAATACTATTTTTTGTTAGCATATAAAGTAACTACAAATGAAATCCATATAAATTCTCCACCCACTGAAGGAAGAAAAGACACCCAGAACATTTGTTTGGGTGTTGCTCAACATGTTTGTCATGTTTCAGCTACTTCACACCTTGTATGAAAGACCAATTTAAAAATCCTCAAAGATAATTTCTACTGTTTTTGATTCACTGTATCCTGAGCAAAATTTGCAACTTATTAAGAATAAACAATATAGTCAGTAAGAAAAGTTACCACAGTAATTCCCAAGAAGAATGTGACAATAAGCTCTTTGACAATAATATTGTGCATCATCTGGTTTCTGTTCCAAAGCCTTAGTCAGCTCCTAAAATATAAACATGTTGAGTGTTAGTAAATGTTTTTTAAAAGCAACTGAATTCTAACTAAACATGATTTTACATCAAATAACCTATTATCATAGAAGCTATCTGGAGAGAAGATAACAGGGAATTAAAATAAGTCTGGAGCTTTTCTTCACAGGAGGGCCAGTATCTCCCCTTCTCCACTCTCTCCCACCAAAACCCACAATCTAATGTATCTTAGCACAATTCCTGGCCTACAGTAGAAACTCAATAAATGGTAATTATTATCACCTCATTTATTCTGAAGAATTCAGATGATATACATTGACCACTACAGATTTTCTCCTCTTAATTTGGAAAAGACTCAAAGACTATGTAGAAGTTGACATACCTAGAAAATGTGAAGCTGTCCAATAAAAACAAACAAACAACCTAGAAGTTAAATCTAGATCTCAGGGAAGTTAAAAGGATCAATAAAGACACAATCAAGCTTATCTGGCCCTCTCCCATCTTCTGTTAATGGCAGACAACCTTAAGAAATTACAGCATTCTGTTTAAAGCCCAGAGACAGTATCTCATAGAAAGCTTCTAACAACTGATCAAGATTTAACATGAGATTAAAAGTTTGCCACCCTGGGCAGTCATAATTTATAAGTAGTAGCTGAAAGAACGATGCAAGAAGACACAACACAATCACAACTGGCCAAGACAAATGCAGGCAAATAGGAATGCTTTCATTCTCTACCCAGTGCTCACACATCCTAGGAATCTGGTAGTTTTCTTAAAAGGTAAAATTATTTCAAAAGCCACACAGCATTAATTTTGCTTTAATCTAGCAGTGTGGTTCTCACAAAGCAATGTATACTATACATGGTAATCATTTACCTAAAATCCACACCATTTTTTACCATCTTCACCTCTATCATCCTGATTGAAGCAATAATGAAAAGCAAGATCTTGTTTATGTCAATAGACATAAAATTCTCCAATTGTCTTTCAGCTAACTCGGAACAAAGTCCCAAGTTCTTCCAGCAACCTACAAGACCCTCCCTGACAACCCCGCGAACTCTTCCACCTCATCTCTTACTCGTCTACCCTAGGCAAACTGGCCTCCTTGCTGTTCTTCCAACACGCTGGGCCTCTGCACCTGGTGCTTCTCTCACTGGAAAGCTCTTCCCCCAGCTGTGCACAGAGATCCATTACCTTACTTTCTAGTTAGTGATGAGCCTGTGCCAGAAACAGGATTCAAATCCAGGTCTGTATGACTCCAAATACGGTTTTAAACACTGCCTCTTGGTAATGTTTCTTTATTTCAAGTATCTTTCACACACCAATGACATCTGTATTAATACATTTCCCTGATACTTTAAAATTCCTAATTTAAATGATACCATCTTGCACTAAACACTCAACAATTCTGAAAAGAGCTGACAGCTTCTTACCTATCTACTCATAGATATCTTCAAACCAAATTTCTAGCCTCTCCTCAGCAAGAAAACAGGTATATTTCAGGTCAAAGAAGCCACTATACATTATATTAATATCTAGATCATCTAATTGTTTTATTTTTAATGTTTATTTTGAGAGTGTGAAAGAGGGGGGAGGGGCAGCGAGAGGGGGAGAGAGAATCCAAAGCAGGCTCCACACTGTCAGCTCAGAGCCTGACTCGGCTTGATTTCACGAGCCGTGAAATCATGACCTAAGCCAAAATCAAGAGTCAGGCGCTTAACCTAATGAGCCACCCAGGTGCCCCTGGATTATTAATTTAGAAAGTATTTTTAAACATACGTTACATAACAAAGCCAGGCCAGACACTGGGGGTACAAAGATAATTAAAATGGAATCAAGTAAAAACTTCTGAACTTCAACCAACTTGCAAATAACCTTTAAAAATACAAACTAACTGCTGGTTAAGGAGAAACCGTTAAGTGATTCAGTTCAATAAAGTAATTCATTTATTAGGCTGCTATTTTTGAAAAGTTACCAAAAGACAGAACACAAACTGAACATTATGACACAAATGTAAGTCAGTACAATACACACAATAACCAATTTATTTCTGAATAAGTTAATACACAATATAATAAAACCAGAAAAAGCGAAGTTAAAATAATGATGTGTGGCTGTAATAACTGCAATGGACTTGTGGCGTGTTTTGAGGGTTCTGTTCCTGTGACAACAGCTGCTCACTGCTAGGGTACAAAGGGACTAAAGAGAGGTATCTCAAAGGCAAGGACTTTAGTGCCAACTTTTGAACACAGTGGCAAAAGGCCATTATGTAATGCACACCAATGGGAAACATAGCGTGAACATGTCCAAAGATACACACTTACATAACACGAGTTACTTCATATTCAAGCATTTTATAGTTCTAAAAATAAACTCAGTGAACTATAAAATATAATTACCCTGAAGTCTTTACCAAGATAATGATGAAGGAAATACCCTGATAATCCAGAACAAGTAAGGGGAAAAAAATTCTTAATAAGGCATTAAAATTGTTTGGATCTGAGAAAATCTATTTCCAAATCTTTATAAAGTTTTAGGCTTTGTAAAAATGCTAGTCAACAACATATCTTGTTGTTAAGGTTAAAAGCTAAAGCAGACCGCTTGCTCATAGGGACCTAACTGTTGAAGGCATGTAGCTCTAGGTACCTCACTTTGACTCCATTTCCCTTTTCCTTCTAGCCACACTAACCCCAATCATAGATGATAAACAAGAGTATCAACCCTTCTCCCTTCCTAAACTATCCAGCACTGCTAAACAAAAACCACATAACCATGCAGAACTGATAACTGCACATTTATGCTAACCAGCTATGCTCAACAAAGCTATCAATGGTCACCATCTATTTTTTTAAAAATTTTTTAAATGTTTTATTTCTGAGAGAGAGACAGCGTGAGCAGGGTAAGGTCAGAGAGAGTGGGAGACACAGAATCAAAACAGGGTCCAGTCTCCAAGCTAGCTGTCAGCACAGAGCCCGACGCAGGGCTCAAACCCACGAACCGCAAGATCATGACCTGAGCTGAAGTCGGACACTTAACCAACTGAGCCACCCAGGCGCCCCAATGGTCAGCATCTTTAAAGTTAGCTACCAAACTTTTAATATTACACATCCCTAGACCTACCTTCTCCTCCAGAGGATGACCTTGTTCCTTGAACCCAGAGCCTTGTCACTTCTCAACTATATAACCTTGAGCAAGTTAATCTCTTTAGACTCAGCTTCCTTGTGAGTAAAATGCAAATACCCACTGCAACTCTCCTAAGAATTATTGGGGGGAGGGCGGCACCTGATGGCTCAGTTAAGTGTCTGACTTTGGCTCAGGTCATGATGTCATGGTTCATGGATTTGAGCCCTGCACTGGGCTCTCTGCTGACAGCTCAGAGCCTGGAGCCTGCTTCAGATTCTCTCTGCTCCTACCCCACTCACACTTTGTCTCTCAAAAATGAAATAATGAAATGAAATAATGTTAAAAAAAAAAAAAAAAAGATGCACAAAATCCCTGCCAGCTTGAAGTTTACAATGGGGTCCCCTTTAGATAGGGTCATCTGAGAAAAAAAAAAAAGCTCTGAGATGACATTTCTGCTGAAATCTAAAGTGATGAGCATTTCCAAGCAAAACAAGATAGTACGAGAGTCCATTCTAAGCAAAAGGAACTGCAAGTCCATAGATCATCCACCAGAACCGAGGCTGCCACATGCAACTGACCAAACAAGCCGATGTGGCTTGAACCTAGAGAGATACGCTACAGGATGCCTATCCCAAGGTCCTCAACTCGTTCCTTACGTTACTTACCGAACAGCTCTTTCAAATAGGTCCTATCTAGTCCCACTTTACAGGAAACCTGATCCAGAGGGACAAAAGGCATTTTCCTGAGGTTATGGATTTACTATGAAACCAGGATCTGGATCCGAGCACTCTAATTCCTGAATTGTGCTTGCTTGCTTTCTTCTTTTTTTTTTAATTAAACTCTACCCCCAATGTGGGGCTCAAACTCATGAACTGAAGACCAAGAGTCACCACACCCTAACTCAAAAGGCCCTAAAAGACCTAGCCCCTGGTTTCCTCCTGACACCATCGCTCCCTCCTCTTTCATTCCCCCTCTAGTTAAATGGGCCTTTTTGCTGCTCCTTGAATAGACCAGCCTCATGATCTTTGCACTGACTCTTTTCCTGCCTGGAGTGCTCTTTCCCCAGGGCTTCCCTTCACCCTTCCTCAGGTCTCTGCTCAAGTATCAAGCCTCCAGACACTCTACTACTCCTGCGGGACACACTATTACCCCTGCGGCAAATTTCTCTTAGCAGTCCGAGCTAGGAAATAACATCTTTTGCCTCAAACCCGACCCTATCTCTATTAGATATGACAACTAGACAAGGTTTGGATTCCTCTTTCCCTCCCGTTTCAAAGCAAGAAAGCCCTGGCTATACTTTGCGACCAACTGTATCATGTATCCCTAGCTTGGGCTCTCTGTATTATTTTCCGTTACTATTTAAATCTTGCTCTTTTGGCTTTTCTTTATAGCTTTATAGCCCTTCACTTGACACAAATACAAAGTGCGTTGTAAATACACACACGATACATAATATAGGACTTTAATCCACAGCAATCAGTGTCCTGTACAAAGACACTCCAAAAAAATTTGTTTTGATAAATGAGTGAATAAGAACAGTGATAGGACACCTGGAAATATTCAGAAACACGTTAAAGGTTTTTGTTCCAGCAGTCTGCGCTTTTAGCACAGCACCTGGTATGTAAGAATGGCAAGAACAATTATCAAATGAAAAAACGAATTAATAGGTATCATCAAGCCTAGATTTCACTTTTTCTTCTACTCACAAATGACATTTAAAAAAAAAAATCGCTTCCAGGCCAACCCTGAACGTTAACTACGCCCCCAAGAAACAAGGAAGGTATTGCTAAGCAACTACGAGGATGCAGTAACGGCCTACGAGTGGGAGGGGGCACGAACAAGGGTCTGGAGTAACTGGGCCACTCTGGAACCGAGGAGAGCCGGACGCTGTCAGTATGGGAAATGATACACAACAAGAACAGCAACCCCGATCCCAGAAAGGCAGCGCTGCTAAGAGACCAGGGCCGCTAGAACCCGCGGGGGCCGCGCTCCCCCCAAGAAGAGTGGAGGAAGCGGAGATTGTTTCTCTCACCTCTAACGCCGCCTGGGGGTCCTCGTCGATCAGAGCATCTGAGAAGCTCCGGAAAAACCTGCCAGCGAAAACAACGACAGGTTCACTAACTAAGAAGAGCGTGGGTGGGAGGGCAAGATAAAAATAACAAAAAGAAAAACACGCACTGCTGCGCTGTTGCAGGTTCCGCTGCAGCTGCCGCCATCCCTAATAACCGCTGCTGCTGTTAGAGCTGCTACCACCGAGGTTAGGAGCTGCGCCGCCGCCCAAGGGGGAAACTTCTGGAGAAACACCAACTGAGCTTCCGTCCTAAGTAGCCAACGAGCAGCCACGCAGCGTGCGGCGGGGGGGGAGGGGAGACGAAAAGCGAGCGCAGAGCGGGCTGGGACCGTGGAGGACTGAGTCTCGGGGCCAGCCCCGTCCCGTGACCGGCGCTCCCAGTCCCCGCCCTTCGCAGCCATGGTTACGGACGCGTAGGCAATTCACATCTCCGCACTCCAATAGACCCTTCAGGGATAGTAGTTCAAAAGCATTTTTGTACCATACTGTTGTTTCCCAGGAGCGTGTAATGTTTGGGAGAGTTTTGCACGCCTATTAATAATAAGCCCCATCGGACTCCATTTTCACCACAATTCTTATCATGGCTCCCCAGGCAGCCGAGGCTTTCGTGACCTGTGACGCCTTTCGCTGCTACGTGTTCTTTTCCGGGACCGTAGTTCCGGCTTGCGCGTAGAGCCTGTGATTGATGCGTTGGGAGTCCTAACGGACAAGGACTGGCCGGAAATCGTCCTGCCCTTGTAGATGCTAGGCTGAAGGGAGCACTTTGGTTCCGGTGCGGTGTACTATTCCATTACCCAGAGCGCCACAGCCCCAGGGTTTTTTCCTAGTTGGCTTCCCCGAGTGAGAAGAAAACTTGTTACACCTGAAGGCCCCGAAGGGAGGAAGGTGGCCTAAGGTTGTGACAGTACTTTTACGTTTCCGACCTAGTCGGGTTCTCTCCTGTCTCACCGTCCTTTGACACACGGAGATCAGATAGAAGCTTCCAGCAAGTTCCATGGAATGGGGTGGAGGAAGGAGTGGGAGTGAACTGCTTAGTGAGTAGAGTTTAAACAAGTAAATGAACTTGAGTGTCTACTGCATCCAAAACCTAAACACTGGGATTCAAAGATGTTAACATCCGCTCCAGAAATTTAAATTCATTGTTTTAAATGCTAAAGTGAACGGGAATAGTCATGATAGCAAGAACAGGCATTTAGCCCAAAATAAGGTATAAGGGTGGATTTCAAAGGTGTGCTACCTGAGTTTCAGACTCAAAAGGTAACTTAGAATTAGTGGATGAAGGAAATGGAAAAGGCATTTTAGACAGACAAGAACGTGCATTAGAAAAATGATGATGTGAACTCTAAAATTGGTAGAACCAAAATTCAAATTAAGTGAAATGCCAGGTCACAAACAGCTAGCTGTGCTCTTCTGAGGAGCTTGGATGTGATACTCTTAACAATTCTAACTCATTAAAGGATTTCTGACTTAAGTAGGCAATAAGTCACATTTGCGTTTTTAAATATTTTTTTTTAATTTTTTTTATTTCTAGGAGAGAGAGAGACAGAGTGAGCAGGGGAGGGTCAGAGAGAGAGGGAGTCACAGACTGAAACAGGCTCCAGGCTCTGAGCTGGCAGTCAGCACAGAGCCCGACGCGGGGCTCGAACCCACGAACCGCGAGATCATGACCTCAACGAAAGTCGGATGCTTAACCGACTAAGCCACCCAGGCGCCCCCACATTTGCGTTTTTAAAAGTATGTTATTGTCTCTGTGCTGTGCAAGAATGATTAAAGGGAAAAGAACAGTTGTTGGGTGACAACTGCTGTGTTGCAGCCGAAGTGACTCTCTTAAATAGGTCAGTGGTTGTAGAGATGCACAGAAAGCTAAGAGCAGATATATGTCAGGTAACACTGGCTTGGGTTTGCTGATCTTTTAGGATCAGTGCTTTTTATGTCATACTAATAAGGCTTCACGTACTCCGAGGCCATGAGGATACTCTGTGTTCTCTTCTAGATGCTTTATTAATTTAGCTTTGACATTTAGGACTATGATTTATCTCAATTTTTGAGAAAGGTATGAGACTGAGATCAAAGTTCTTTTCCCCCAATATGGATATCCAATTGACCCAGTCCTACTTATTCAAAGTACTGCCATTTATTATTTCCCCCATTAAATTCTTTTTTTAATGTTTTATTTATATATTTTTGAGAAAGAGAGAGCACGTGCACAAGTGGGGAAAGGGCAGAGAGAGAGGGAGAGAGAGAATCCCAAGCAGGTTCCATGCTGTCAGTGCACAGCCTGATGTAGGTCTCCATTCCATGAATGGTGAGGTCATGACCTAAGCACAAATCAAGAGTTGGACACTCTACTGACAGAACCACCCCCCACCACATTAAATTCTTAGGTACCTTTGTTGTCAAATAGATGACCAAATATATGTGCGTCTGCGTGTCTAACCTTGTACCAGTACTACACTATCATAATTAATGTAGCTTTATAATAGATCTTGAGGTCCTAGAAATTTTCAAGGTTGCCTTGGCTATTCCAAATCCTCTGTATTGCCATTATTTTATACATCTTATACAATTTATTTCCATTTATTTATAAATTTTAGAATGAGCTTGTCAACTTAAGGGAAAAAAAACCCTGCTGGGATTTTAATTGGACTTGCACTGGATCTGTGGAACTGTTAGGAGAAAACTGACATCTTAATATTGAGTCATAAGCATTGAGTCATAAGTATCATCCATACACCCTCCATTTGTTTAAACACTCTTTAATTTCCCTCAGCAGTTTTGTAAATTTCAGTGTAGAAATTTACATATCTTTCATTAGATTTATACTTGGGTATTTGGCTTAAAAAAAAGTTTATTTTGAGGGGGTGGGTGGGAAGAATGAGTGGGGGAGAGGTAGAGAAGAAGAGAGAGAATCCCAAGTGGGTTCCTCACTATCAGCACAGAGCCCCACGTGAAGCTCGCAAACCATGAAATCATGACCTGAGCTGAAATCAAGAGTCAGGCACTTAACCTACTGAGCCACCCAAGCCCTCCAAGGTATTGGCTTTTTTAATGCTATTTTAAATGACATTTTAAAAGTTTTTAATGAGCCTGGGTGGCTCAGTTGGTTAAGCATCCAACTTCAGCGCAGGTCATGATCTCACAGTCCGGGAGTTCAAGCCCCACATCTGGCTCTGTGCTGACAGCTCCGAGCCTATAGCCTGCTTCAGATTCTGTGTCTCCCTTTCTCTCTTCCCCTTTCCAACTTGCACTGTCTTTCTCTTTCAAAAAATCAACATTAAAAAAATAAAAGTCTTATATCCTACTTCTTTGTTATTGATACGTAGAAACAGTATTGATTTTTACATATTGAGCTTATATTTCTAATACTTTGTAGGTATACTTTTTAGAGTTTCTATGGTTACAATTTTTTATCTATGAATCAAAATTGTTTGAGGTCTTGTGAAATGATTATACCTCTCATTTCTTTTTCTTGCTGTCTTTCACTGGCTGGTACATCTCATATAGTGTTGAATAGTGATAAATGGGTTCTGTCTTGGCTATAACATCAGAGGGGAGGGCATTCAATAGCAAGTGCTTTTTCTGCCTTTATTGAAATATTCATATTTAGTTTTTCTTTAAAGTGAATTACTTTGGTTGATTTTCAAATGTTCTCTAAATGGCCAATATGCACAAGAAAAGAAGTTCTACATCAATAGCTATATTAGGGACATTAAAGTCATACTTTGGTATTAAACATCAGAATTGTTTAAAAGGAATTCTAAAATGGAGCACCTATAACTTGTGTATATTGCTAGTGAGAGTATAAATTGGTGTAATTACTTTAGAAAACTTAAAAAAAGTTTTTAAAATTAATCTCTACACCCTAACATGGGGCTCAAATTACAACTCCAAGATCAAGAGTTACATGCTCCACAGCCAGGCGCCCCTAGAAAACTTTTGACACTATCTACTAAAGCTAGTCATCCAAATACCTATTACCCAAAAATTCTACCACTGGACATATCCCCAAGAGAAAAGAGTACTTACTTTGTGTACAAGAATATTAATTACAGTATTATTCATGGAAAAAATGGAAATAAATGTCTTTTGATAAGAGAAAAATACTATGGAGCAATGATTAAGAATGAATTACAAGATACACACAACAAAATGTAGGAACCTCACATACATAATGTTGAGTTAAAGAAGCCAGACAGGGTACATCCTGATTGATTCCATTTGTATGAAGATAAAAACTATTGTGAAGGATACCAGTAAGTGATCTCCTAGCTGAGAAGAGCCATAGGGAAACTTCTTGGATACAGGAAATGTTACATATCTTGATCTAGGTGGCAATTACACCAGTATATTCAGATGTAAAATTTTATTGAGTTGTACAGATAAGATTTGTACCCTTCGTGCCTCAATAAATAGGGGATAAAGATTTAAAACAAAATTAGCAACAGTCAGAATTTGAAATTTATGACATTTACAATAGCATCAAAAATATTAAATACTGAAAAATAAATCTGACAATGGATATGTAAAAGGTATACACTGAGAATTATGAAACATTGCTGAGAACATCTAAACAAATGGAGACGCATCTATGGAGACTCGATATTGTTAAAATGTCAGTTCTTCCCAAATTGATCAATGGATTCGACATGATCCCAATCAAAATCCCAAAGGCTTTTTATGTTTTAGTTGACAAACTGATTCTGCAAATTCAAATGGAAATACAAAATTAGAACAGTCAAATCAACTTTGAAAAATAACAAAGTTAGAGAACTAACACTACTGATTTCAACACACCAACCTTGTGTATTGGCACAAAGATAGATCAATAGAACAGAATAGAGTCCATAAATTCACCTGTACATACATGGACAAGTGATTTTCAACAAAGGTCCAACGATAATTCAGGGCAGATAGTTGAAAAGGATAGTCTTTTCAGACTTTTCAATTGAAAGGGACAGTGTTTTCAACAAACTGAATATACAAAAGCAAAACAATGAACTTCCAATACATACCTTGCATTATCTATAAAAATGAACTCAAAATGGAGCATGGACCCAAATGTAAAACTTAAAACTATAAAACTTCTAGTTTTGTAGAAGTTTTCTTAAAAAACCTCAGTGACTTTGGATTAGGCAAAGATTTCTTAGACATGACCCCAAAAGCATGACCCTTAAGAAGTTGATAATTAGACTTTATCAAAATTAAAAGGTTCCTGCACTTTAAAAATACTTGC